AAGAGGAATAAGTTATGAAATGTTTCAAATGCTTTTCATAGATTGGTATGTCATCCACCCTCGTCAACTTTGTACTACAACATTTCTATATGTCCATCTGAACGTAAATTGCGTTGAGAAATAAAAGTCAGGAACTCGTAGGTAGCGTCCTGCAAAATATGTGGTACCCGCCTCGTCAGACAACGGACGACAAAACTGGCCATATACATAAGAAAGGGCAGGACGCAACGTGGTATGACCGACATATTGCTTGCCTAGTGAGTGCCTTGATGTACCGAAGGGACTCTGTCGACTCCGCTAGGCCTCGAGTCTCTGACGTCGAGGTGCTGCTTCCTTTGATGAATGCCTCCCTCCTCGAAATGATGCTGTGAACTTCCAACTGGGAAATCAACGCGTAGAGAATAAGAACGAATATCAAACGCCAGGTCCGTGTTCTGTGAACCCCGATCATAAGTCGTTATTAGATGCAAACAATGGTATCGTCAGATCAAAAATCGTACAACATATAGCAACTATGCTGTGGCGTGAGTTGGGTATAAGTTTGAGCTGTTGGTTGTGGTTTGGTGAAAGGATAATGGTATGGGTTCTATCCGGCCGGAGTGGACAATAGTAAAGAGGGTAGGTAATCATGGCGATTGGCAGGCGGTAGTAATTCGGATCAAATCATACCGCCCTCGGTGAAGCCGATGCTGTTTCGCCATCCACAGCGCCGTTCTTGCTCATCTCTCTCGAGGTCTCGAGGTCGCGGAGGAACGCCCCTAGCGTTCAAAGTACCTTTGGGTACCTGAGATGGACTTGGGTCGAACTCGCTGCTGCCGCAACTGCTCCCGCCGCTGGTGTTGGTCTGGACGAGAAGTAAGCTGCTGGTGCTCGAGAGACGCTTGGTGAACTCGCTGAAGCTAAGTCGCTTGGCGCTGGAGCCGGACGCCCGCTTTTCCCCGTTGGTTCGGAAGTTGGCATCATCGGATGTCTTACCGGATGAAGAGGTTGGCACATCGAGCCTCTCTTGGCCCATGGGCTGAGTTTGGCTGTACGTCCTTTGCGTCACACCCGGCCGCATCCTGGAATGCGCCGTGTGTGGCCGCGCAGGAGCCTGCAGGGGAACACTGAAGTTGGCAGGCGGGCTCCTCATCACGGGCGAGCGAGGTGACATGGCTTCCTCTTGGCGACTGGCGAGATATTCGAGGGCGCGTTGGGCATTGGGCGCGATCAAGGTTTGGCGATTGCCACTGGCATCCGCCTCGTGTGCATATTCGTCATGCTCGTCGTCGTCTTCATCTTCCTCGTCGTCATCAGCCTCCTCTTCGGATGAGTCCTCATCGACATCGAATGCGCTGAGCATCGCAATCTTCTCGGCATGTGCTTCTTTCACCTGTTGGCGCATTTTCTCGTCGGCCTCCCGCATCAATGCATCGAATCGAGCCAGCGATGTGAGCTTCTCTTCACCCGGAGTCTCGAGTTCGGAGCCAGGGATGCAGCGCAATTGGAAAGCACGGTCGAGGATCGTCTCTCGCTGGTTCGGTGGTGAACTAGAATCGGCACCGGGAAAAGGTTGGGCACCTCCTGAGCTGACGCTGCCTCGACCGCGGATTGGTGAGCTGATGGTAGATGAACGTCCTTGTGCCGCTGTCCATCCCTCAATCAATTCGCTCCGTTGATAGTCGCTCATAGACATCGTTGTGACAGGCGAGGGGATGTCGCTGGGGAGAACAGTAGTGTATTTGTTGGGGTCTGGGATGGTGAAGCCCATATGAGCAGGATGGGTAGTACTTGTCGGTGACGAGACATCACTGCGCTTAGAACGCAGACTCGGAGAATCGGAGCTGAATGTGATGGGTCGGTCTCGGCTTGAGTATGTCTGCGTCGAGTTCTTGTGTTGCAGGGTGCCACGGGGATTCGGGTTCCCACTCGGAGGGCGAGGGAAATAATCGACATCTCGAGAACGCTGCTGGGCGAAGGGGTTGGTGAAACAGGGAGAAGCCGGGCTTTCTGGGCTCATGGGAAGTTTTCTCGAAATAATAAACCGGGCCCATTCGTGTAGACTAATATGATGGTCGTCGGGGGGCGTTCGAAACCAGAGCGTAGTCGCAGTGGACTCTTTGCTCGAGATGAGGCCAGCAGCCCTACTGGAACGGCGTTTCTTCTCCTTGTCGTTGATGGTGATAACGAGAGTGGGCAGAACGGGGCCCTGCTTGCGATGGGCGAGCATCTGCACCTGACAGTCTATGACAGAGCTGACGGGGTATTGGTAGGAGGGCTCCCAGTCGTCCTGCAAGTTCAGGTGGCTTAGGTTTGGGCCAGAGAACTCCGTCATGTTGAGCCTTACCTTTGACTTGAAGATGGAGATGTAGTAGTCGTCGTTGCCAGGGGTCCGCGGCTGGGATCTGGTGCCGGTCCCGTTCGAGCGGGTTGAAGCGGCATTTTGAGGGAAAGTCGGACTGGTGACGGCTTCTCTGTAGACACTACGGCCTCCCACAACAACATATCGTGGCTAGAAAGAAGAAGCAAAATGTCAGAGACAAAATTCTTGGACGGCAATATTGCAGAGAGTTCGAACGCAATTCCATACCTTCCAGATGGCGCGCCCCAAGATCTGGCCCCGATCAGGGGGTATCAAGAGAACTCCCTCGCAAGTTTCCATGGCTGATGGAAGAGGTTAAGACAAGGGTTGTGACTAGTAAGGCGTATCCAGGCACCGTCGTTGCTCCAAAGAGGAACTCGAAAGGTCTCCAAGGTATCAGGTTGAGGATTAAAAAAGCATGCTTAATGTTGAAAGCAGGCGTCGGCGGTGGAGGACTGGATGCAGTCTAAACGAGGGTTGACGACGGTTGCGCTGTGCATGCAGCAGAAGAAAAGGTCGGATCGAGGACGGACAGGTTTACAGGGTCCAGATGGGGATTCGGTATCTCGGGTCTGCACAAAGGGACCAGTGAGTTGTTCCCATGGATGTCTCTGGATCCAGCGCCCCTGACCTGCGCGAAGAATAAACAACGATTTGTGTTGAAGCAGAGGTTGGGCCGGCTTGGGAGAGGAAGAAGAAGAAATGAGGCGCGATGGCGGAGGAAAGTAGAGAAAGAGGTGTAAGGTATGTGTGTGTGTGAAGTAGGTAAGTGGTGGTGGTAGACTGGTAGTAGTGTGGTCGTGGTGGATGGGGGCCGCCAATAATGGAGGAGGGGAGGGGGGTGAGGTGGTGAAGGGGACGGGAATCCGTTACTAAGGTAAGTGCAAGGCCAAGGCGAGCCGCGAAGGCGGTCTGCAGGAGATTGAGGGAGGGGGTACAAGCTCCAGGGACGGAGCCAGCGAACAATGGCATGAAGAGAGGCAGACTGGATTGCTGGTGCGGAGGGTAGCACTTCTCTTCGTTTAAAATTGTAGTCATTAACGGCGAATGAAGCGGATGAGATGTTGGGGGTGTGGGTAAGGACGAGCTGGGAATGATTACGATTCCACGCTGAAGACGGGAGATACTGCGAGGGCCAGTCCACAACCCGCAGTGACATGGAGCCAGAGAGGAGACAAATGATGGGGACTGACTGAAGGAAGGGAGGCAGAACGGACGACAAGGTACTATGAGTCTAGGAGAATAACCTACGGAGTACATACGCAGTGCGCAGTATGAGAATGGAGCAAAAGAAGCAGAAGCAGAAGCAGAAGCAGAAGCAGAAGCAGAAGAGTACCTTACTACGTAGAGGTAAGTGGAGGCTATACGGAGACCAGGCCTTACCGCACCGTCCTGGAGCGGTCCGTACTATGCGGTAGGCGAAATTAAGCAAGACCAAGCAAGGTCCAAGACCCAAGGCGCGAAGACTTGACGGGAAGGACTGGACTGGAATCACTGGGACTGGATCGGGGGTGAAATGTTGGAATGGTGGATATACGCATCTGCCTCGCACGTGTATTTCAAATGTAGCGTAGCAAACGCTTTTTTACTTCTATGTCGCCACCTCCTTCCCTACGCAGTAGCGACATAGATATCTCTCGCTCTCTTTTGTCACATTTCCACGTCTTCTTTGTTGGCTCTGACTGCAGAACCCCCTTCCAACGCAGAGGTACGGACGTAGATAGACGCATTCATAGTTACGTACATATGTCATATTTGTAGGCAAAGGTACGGAGTGGAATAGGAGAAAATACACTACCGAACCAGGTACTTTTATTGCGTGGAACGACACAAGGTCAAGGGATGGATACCTTGAGAAATACTCGCTGCTTGTCACTGCCCGCTCTTGAGGTACACTCGATACGTACCGGCGCTGGTCGCGGTTGGGATGTCAAGGACAGGGTGCTCCCCGCCGGGGGGGGGCCAAGGAGGAAGGCAAGGAAGAAGAAAAAATGAAAATTAAATCGGGTCCCTGCCGTGCCTGCCCTGTGTGCCTGTGCCTGTGTCGACTGTTCAGTGCCCTGTGGTCTTGCCGTCCAGTCTTGGAAGGGGAAAAGAATGGAAGGAACGAACGGTACCTGCGCAAAGCAACGACGGCAAGTGCAACCCGCAAGTACCGGGTTCAGGGTAGGACCATTGGAGCAGGGACGGGGATGTCCCTGACCCGTCCTTCTTCGAGACCGCTTTGCATCTTGGGGGCACTTCCACTGGCATCTTATCTCATCCAATGACACGCTGCTATCGAAACCAGATGGGTTCGAGAGTGGATACCACCTTACCACGGTACGTATCGCTGTCATTGACTCTACTGCGTAGGTACTCCGTATGGAATCTTTTCTCTCTCCAGACAGACCTCACCTTATTCTGAGACCATCTTGGGACGCATCCTCTTCCAACTGACTTGCATCACAGTACGTATACAGTCACTGTGCATCATGCTCATGGCAGCACACACATGGAGAGACTCGGTCTTGGAGCCAGCGGCGTAGACGACTGCGTCTCTCTCTCCCTCTCCCAAAACCATGCCGTGCATTCAAATCTCTAGGCGCACCATCTACATGAGATACCTCCCTACCTCTCCTCGGAAGCCCCTGGACCAAAAGAGAAAGAGTCCGGAGTGATGCAATTCGAAGAAGCGGAAACGCGGAAACACGGAGATAAGGCAATAGGAGAAGAAGAACAAGAACGAGAAGAACGAGAAGAAGAGAGCCACGCCACACACGGCAGAAGCGCTGTCAGATGGATGAGCCCTGGCTACCTCGACGGTCATGTTCCATCGCCACGGAGACTATTCGTACGCATACAGGGCATCAGCAGACTACTGGCTACGAATGCAATTCTACAGCCAGAGTCGCTCCACCACGAGACTGCGTCGTCCACATCGTGACGCTTCCACTGTCAGGAACCGAGGGGCGCCGAGACGCGAGAGGACCTCTTACTGCGCAGTAGAGGGGCAGAAACACTCGAAGACTTCTATCGCTAAAAGAGAAACACATTAGCCCTCTTCTAGCCATGCTGGCCCTGGCTCACCCTCTCTCATCCCTGCTATGCCCCTGCAGCGGCCCCGGTCCAGCTGCGAGCTCTGGTTATTTCCTCCGTCCACTACCCACTTCTCCCCTGCCTGTCATTCCCGTCAAACCCTCTCGACTTCTCCAGGACACACACACACACACACACACACACACACACACACACACACACACACACACGCAACCAATGCCGCAATTCCAGGGAGAAACATTCCTGTGGCCTACGCAGTACTGACTACGAATACCTTACTCACATACTGTATGGGATATAGACACCAAGAGCTTGACTGCTTTCAGATGACGCTGGCGCCGTTTCGACTCCATCGCCGTTTGCAGACATCCTCACTGGCTTTTATTCCATCCGCCCGAAGCCGTGTCTCTGACTATCCTCTAGCGCCTCTTCTACCGTCCGCTTCTTTGATGTCCTCGTCGGCTTTCGTTGTCAACTCATACGCCATCCGCACTTTCCCATCAGATTGAATCGACTTGAGACGGCATCGCATTTCATCCTATCAGCCACCGCTTCTCCACCTCAACTGCCTAGCTGACTTTGCGGCGTCATCGGTCGAGCCGTTTGTTTCCCCAAAAACTCCAACACCAAGACCAGTAGGAACCGGCTATCGTCCCGGCTCCGGTTGTTGGCGGCAGTCAGCGTTGTACAGTTTCAGGCCGTCTCCCCAAAGAGTCAGAACATGGTGAGCAAGACAACAATGGAGGACGCCATCTCGGGAGCCGGATCGTAGCCTGTGTCATACATGGCTGTGTGTGGCATGTCATTGCAACTTCACATTACCCACCTCCATCTTGGACGCCTAACCCGGAGGGAGCTCATCAATCACCGCTGCTCTGGTACCGAGCGCATTCCTGCACCACTTCGGAAACACTTCGTACTCCATACACGGTGCCACGGGCTGGTTTTCTTCTCAACGACACGCCAGCCACTATTATACCCTTCACATGCTTCATGCGTGCCATTTCCATACAACGTCCTATGTTGGTTCGCAAATCGCATCACATCAGCCAGAAAACAGCCACCGTCGTTCCTGACTCTTGCGACTCTGCACTAGTCCTGCTCATGTGCCGTTCCGAGCCTTTAATGCGACACAACACCGCTTGCTGGCCTTGCTCTGCGGCTGCTCCTGCCGACAACGACAGGGGAGACAAGAGAGGCGAACAAAAATGGCCGCCGGAGACTTTTCGTCACTTGACGCAGACGTACGGATACGGATACCTGTAATTCCAGTCTCCAGCTTGAAGTCGTTGTCAGTGAGACGGATCTCGAACGCGTCGGTCGATGAGAATCTCCATACCTCTTCCCCCACCGCTACTTTAAGAGACATCAGCATCAGACCATATCTTGTAAACCAAGAACTGTCCCCTCTCTCGTCACTTTTTCGACCGCCGCAGCATCCGTGGAGCATACTGGTACGCCGCGCACTTTGTCTCCTACGACGCCGCGGAGCGGATCTCAGGGACCGAACCTTCCACCTTGCTCCCCACTCGTTCTCATCCGCACAGGTGTCCAAGCTTTTTTATCGCCGCCTCAGTGTACGCAGTATGCAGCATCCAAGTCTGGTCTGGTCTAATTAGTCCAGCGACATATCAGATCTAATTGTCTTGAACCTGCAGTTGGGCGGGCGGGCGGGCGCACTCAAATATGCAGCACATGCAGGCCTCGCATGGCATGGCATCGCGTTGCATCGCATCAACCATCAACGCTAATAAAGGGACCCAAGCCAATGCCCATGTGGCCTCTCCAACATGAAGCCAGTGAGGCCGCACTCATCTCGCATCGCACGCCCGACTGGCTAGTCGCCGTCATAGATTAGTCCTGAATTACAGGCTCCCACAGGTACCTAGACAGCTCTAGTTGGAATTCCATCATGGCCACTCGAAGCCCTCCAAGCCCTCCAAGCCCTCCTGTCTCCGCCACCTCGCCAACCTCTCCGCCATGATGCTGCACCGTTGCGGAGATCTCAATGCATGCAGCACACCATGGCCTCCGAGGGATCCATCAACCTGTCTACTGTGCCTTGCCTTTCCATGCGCGCCTCCTGGACTAGACGGTCTAGTCTACACAGTAGACCGGCCTGCGCCGCTCGTCCCTAGTCAAAACTGGCCTGTCGGGCAAATACTAGCTGGTCATGTGCGGGAATTGGGCCAGGGCTCTTGACACTCAGCCGTCCAAGATGGTGTCGACTTGCTTGCTTTGCTGCAGAAGTTCCGGCAATCAGCTACGGGCGATGTCCTACTTTGGACAGGCCAGTGCAGCCGACATCCCGCTTCAGCTCGTTGCTCCCGAATAACGCAGTCCTATCTACCATTTTGAGCATCAGCGCGCCGCTGCCCTCTCCCACTTTTACAATGCCCCTGGCCGTCGGCAGTCGAACCGATTTCGATTAAGGTGTCTCCGTGCAAGCCCGGCACCTTGGACGTATGGATTGCACCGACCATCTGGTCAGTGTCCTGCTTGGGTTTCTCGGCTTACATCTGTGCTAGAGAAGATTTTGCCTGCCGCCGCACCCAACGACATCCAAGTTTGTACCGACACGTCTCGTTCCCTACGGATATGCATCCCCCGCGTTCAAAAAGAAAACGAAGGCAGTGCCAGCGTGCCGCTTGAAGACGTAACGCTTATGACAGATCAAACGCACGCAATATCTCTGAACCACCTAACGTATGCGCCCCTGGCTCAACGTCGCCAATCTTGCAGGGCACTCAGGAGCGGAAGCGGCCAGGATCAGGGTTGACCACACAGAAGACGGATTCAAGGAGCGGACAAAGCACCCCAATCCGGGGCCGAACAATGGGTCTGTTATCGACGGCCTCTCATCTCTCATCTCGCTGACGCTGGAGCATTAGAGCATTCAGTTCAGCCCCCATCAGAGACTGCATCGTCATCAGCCATCGTCCCCTTACGCCGCAAGCGCTGCTATCAGCTCCTAAACCCAGATTGAACTACTCGCCCGAGCTCTGCGCTCGCCACTGTGTTTCCGTCTGGCCGATCAAGCCAACCGCTTTATGTCTCGGGTGGGGTCTTTGCACAGCTTGTTCAGCTTACCAAGTACGGCCGGCCCGGGATAACGTCCGCCGCCGAACCCCGGCGATATCGCCGTAGTCCTTAGTCCGCTCCGAGTGGTACAAAATCATCATTTCTCACACTCTGCACGGATACTCCGTGGGGATACAGACATCCGTACGGACTCAGCACTCATACCTTGTTTTGCCAGGCTGTCAGACCATCCGTCAACCGACTTGACCTGGACCTCATGCGAGTACCGAGGCTCTAGCTTGATGGGCGCCCCGAAACAGCCTAGTTGGTTGGCAGCACGCAGGTGGCTTGCGTTTGAAAGGCGGTTGGTGCAGTGCAAAGACGATGCCCCTGATCCACCTCTGAGGAGCCTCTCCACATACTTTAACCCTCTTCGCTTGCTTTTTTCTCTTAGACCTAAGCAAGACTCGATCATCTTGGCCAGTTGTCAATCGCGTGGCACTGATGCGGGTTTAACGCCAGAAATGCCATCTTGGACATGACAGTCAGTCTTACTGTCTAATAGAAGGTCCCCGACATATCCACTCATACCCCGCCAAGGTCCAGATCAACATTGAGATTCTCGTGTGGCTTGCGATTTGCGCCAATAGCTTCGGTCAGTTAGGGACTTGAGTGCCTCGGACTCCCAGTTCAGCAGGCATATTTTACAGCTGCCTTCATAGCATAGGTGCGCAGTGAGATGTGCCAATAACGAGCCAGTGCTGGCACACTTTTACTCTCTCTCTCTCTCTCTCTCTCTCTCTCCTCGGCGGCAGATACAAACAGTGTCTTGCATCAGAGAGATGAATCCGTCTTCATATTCCGGATACAGCACCCGTCAGACCATAGACGGGATCGCTGAGTACTGTCCTACGTCCACAGTGTCTCACAAACCCTACGAAAGCGATCTGTAATACACTCTGACGCTGCGGACCGCACCCTTGCCAATGAGCACAAGCCGCCTTAGCACTAGCCACTTTGAAATAGTATTGGGGGCATCGTATTCTTTCGAATCGTGGAGAGACGGGGATATTGACTCGTACCTTGCGCTGAGGATCATGAAGAACTGGGGGGGACTTTCGCCTTTTGCTCATTATTTGAGCGGTCCGTTCCTGTGTGCACGCCCACGACGCCCTCCGAGGCAGGTCGACTGGATTCCAGATCACGGAAACTCCCATCATGGGATTCTCGCCCTGGGTGATCCCACAGCAGCTGGTCGCACTAGATGACATGTCTGAGACATGAGCTAGGGTCGTTACACCTCATCAAGCGGTGATGAGAAGCTATCCCAGCCATTTGGTTTGTATCCCTCCAAGGAAACAGGAAACGAGTCGTTGACCAAAGTTCTGTCTGGAGAATGCATCAGTCCGTAGGCCACGGCGAGAACTGGGATCGACAGGGTAGCGTCTCGAAAAAGCCCGTCCCTCGTTCCGACGTGCTAATTGATGATCCTCGTGCGGAGGGGCAACGTGGTGTAGCGGGTCAACAAGCTATATCCACCTCGAAGCGAGGACGATCGCGAGGTCTCGAGGTTACAGTCTCCTCCGACAAGTTAATTACGCACCCTCTCCACAGACCACGGCGACCACTGAGCTTCAGGCGCACCCTGCACGTAAGCTTACTCTCGTCACTACTCAGAACCCAGAAACCCGGAGTTGGCACTCTGTTGGGGGGGGTTGGCAAAAACCTGCTGCCTAAGTCGCAGTGTAAATGAGCGCCATGCAACACCGGCCCGATGGCGAGTCAGGATGGAGTGCGATTTCGGGAAACGTTGCACGCGGAATGTCTCGCTCAAGTGCTGGCGCTGGGAGTCGGCCGACCCGTACCAAGATCGAGAAAAAAGGCTTTACGGTTACGGAGCATGAGGTGACGCCCTTTTGAAATTTGGAGGATTCGACGTTGCACGAGGCTTGGCCCGACCGGTAGCATCTTTGCGAGGCGGCGGCTCCCAGAGTGCCGGATGCCAACAACGACAAGATGGGCTGGGTTCGGACATTGCTCCTTTGTTCACGTGGTGGCTGACAGCCCACGTCAACGTTTTCGAGGAGTTGATCAGGAGAACGAAGGCTTCCAGAAACATGTGAAGCCTTTCGGTGCCAATGGCTGAAAGGGAGCAACAGGTAAGAAGACGCGCAAGCGTGCTGCAGAACGGCCAGTGACATTCGTCTCATGTAAGTGGTTCTCGATCCGGCGCATATGGCTGCCTTCATTCACGACTGTGCCTGAGCTCTATACTGGTACCAGTCTCGCTATGAGGACGGGCACATTGATTGCCAGGCGCGAGGATACAGAGCTGATACTAGCGCCCTTTGTACGCAAAGGAGCCGACGCTTTCAAATCGGTCTTTCGGGGCCAAGGCAAGGCTTCCTGTTTGCAGTCCAACGGTTCTGGCAACGTGCTCACGAAGATGGCCCATTTCCTTCGATTCTGGTGCTACCATCCGATGGAGCCTTTGCAGCTGTGGAAAGGACTGGACGTACTCAAGGTGAAGACTATCCTCTCAGAGACTGCGCTCGCCCAGAAGCCGTCCGTGAATTCATAAACGTGATTTAGGGAGAAGGCAAACCGTAGGCGATCATGATTGTCATATGATATGCGTCGCTTTTGATGTCCTGGTGACGTAGCAGAGGGACCAGACGACATTTCTGTCTTATACCGATATGGACTATTCATCAGAGGCAGGCATACGGTCCTGTCATTGAGAAGTCTCTAGCAATGTGAACTGGTGCTCAGCGAAAGATTACATGCTCCTGGTCTGCTATATAAATAGATCCCTATTAAAGGCGGTTTACAGCTTCGGTAAGAGACCGCAGGATTGAACGTGTACGTTCTCTCGGGCCTGATGCACCGCTGTTGTAGTTGCAGTCTTAGTGCAGCGCCAGGCATTTCTCTTTGTTGGGTGTGGCTTATATCGGGCTAAGTGACTTCTTCTCAGTATTCCGTCCTGTCCAGGTGATCATACTGGATGGAATACTTGGATGTTGGAAGTGGCGGGCAAACACGAGAGGCGGCTGAGAGAGTTTCGCTTTAGGATGAAGCCTGCGAAGTTCCTCTTGGGTCTTGCGACTTAAATAGCTCGAACAGTTGACACTTGATGCGTCACCTCTATGAAGAAGACAATAGCGAAAGGAATGGTCCAGGCTCAAAATCCCTCCTCAGGTGAAGGCGGGACATACTGAGGACTACTTTGCCCTTTTATACTAACTCTCATATTGATACCAGTGGGCAGAGGCAGCCAGCTCCTGTATTACTGTGATGATGGAGAGCGGAGTAGAATCCGAAGGGATCACGAGCTTTGTCGTGGGCGTCATTTAGATCTCATGGGGTTCAGGTAGGGCTTCTGCCATTTGGTTTTGTATCTGGATAGTTTGCTTCGAACATGACGTGTTGATTTTGCAGAAAGTGCAGGACTATGATGAGAAAGTGATATGATGTTGGCTTTACGATCCGGAATAGCCGTTCTGCCGACGAGGCGGATAGAGGGGATGTTAATCAATTAGCCCCTGCGTCTTCTGGTTTAGTAATTGACTTTTCGAAATATGAGTTCATGTTTGACATTTCTGGCCAGAGAGATATACTTTGCCCAGTCGTGTCCAGGAACTGTGAAGACAAAATCGACGACTCAAAGTCACTGCCAACGCCACTATCGATTCGTTCCACTTGTAAGAGAGCACGACCGACTTGAATCAATCTGATCAACCGGGACCGGGCCGCCGTTTCTGTTCCCATGGTGTATTGTAGGTTGAGATGCCATCATTCGGATATAAAGAAGCATCGGGTTGTGATTCCACCCCATTT